TGTGGGGGCTGCTCTGTGGGGCTGCACCGTGGGGACTGCTCTGTGGGGCTGCACCGTGGGGGCTGCTCTGTGGGGCTGCAGCCAGCAGAGTCCGCTTCCTCTCCTGCTCCTAACATAGGCTCTCACTGTACTTTCTTTCTCTTTGCGCGGCCGCTCGCCCAGGCGTTAGAGAGGCAAAAAGAGTTCTTTGATTCCATAAGGAGCGAGCGTGATGATCTTAGAGACGAAGTAGTCCTGCTGAAAGAGGAACTGAAGGTATGGAGCCAGAGGACGGCTGAACACAAATCCAGGGGACATCAGAGACCCCCGAGTCTCAGGAAGAGACGTGTGTGGGTACTGGTGATAACGTCTTCTGTGTCAATGACCTTGGTTCTGTTATACATTTAACCATTCAACTGTTACTGATTTTCCTCCATCCAGTTGTGTACATTTTATTTACTATCAGTTACAATTCCCACAATGTGACTGCACTTTTCGCCCTCCCTTTTTGTAACTTTCATGTCCATTAATCTTAAAAACTTTGAACAGAATGTATGCTCATTACTCCACTTCCAGCTATACAGTGGACAGACAGTCATGCAGGCTGACCAGTGACCACAGGGAGGTAGTTGTTTCTTCGAATAACTGATCGTAAGAGGTCAGAAGGCAGCGCCTGCTCACAGATGAAGCTCAGAAGGTGGGAAGGGGTAGGACAGTATCGGCCAATCAGGATCCCGGGGTGATTGCCAGTGAGCCCAGCAGAGTCTGCTTGCCCATGGCTCTGATTTATACAAGCGTTGAAAACAGCTCTAAATTCAGTAATTGTTTGTATGCTAGCTAAATTCTGTCTCACACTCAGGAGTAAATTCACTAGGGCATTGCGAAAATTTGTGGAATTTCTTTTTAGCAAAGTCTCAAATCCAAGGAGTTCTCTCCGTGAGCAGGGCCTTAGGTACGTGGTAGGTACTGGCACTGCCCACACCAGTTCTTCTGATATGGGAGCTTCTAGGAACATGAGGGTGGGAGCGCCTCCCCAGGGGTCAGCTTCACAGGGGGTGGGGCTTAGTGCTCATCTGGGGGTGCCTGCAGGGTCCCTGTCTCATGAACTGGGCGGGGCTTAGCGCTGAGCCTCATCCTTCCTGTAAGGTGCCCCTGCTTCCCATGCTTAGCACTCCAGCTCATCATCCAGGTCCCTGCAGGCTCCCTGCCGCCGGGCATTCACCTGCCTTGGCGTAGCGCCCCCTCCCTGCCGTGCTGACTTGGCGCAGCTCACCTGGCCAAGCCCACCTCCTGCAGACCCGGGAAGCCAACCTTAGGGAGAGGAGCTGGGCTGTGAAGTGAGGTTCTGTGAAAGGGTGGAGCCTTCTGAGAGGCTCCCCTGTGTGGTGACCTGGGTTCTAGTTCTCTGATAACCCTGGCATCTGCCCGTTTTCCACAGCAGACCTTCAGGTCACCTCTTGCTCAGAGTGACTTTGTTAAGACCAAGAAGTGCCCCTGAGCATTCCCGGGACTGTGATGTTCTCAAAAGCAAACAGCCCCACCTTTCTTCTGTGGAGCGACTTGTTGGTTCGACCCACTGCTCTTCTGATTAGCAGCTGACCCCTCTCACCACTGTACCACTCGGGCTCCTCGGCTGCCAGGTCACCCTGCCTTCAACATGGTCTCCTGCATTCAGTTTGGTCCCTGCACCCATTTCCTTCACTAGCCCAGTCTCTGTCTCTGTAAAGAATGTGTTTAAAATCCAAGCACTGTGATCATGTCCTGCCCACTTTGTGGAAGCCCTTGTGGAACCTCTGGTTCAAAAGATGCCTGCTGACCAGCAGATTATCCCCAGAAAATTCAAAGGTGGAGCAGAGCACGTGGTTCCCAGTGTCATGTTACAGTGCTTCCTGTGTGAACAAGAGAGCTGATGGTGTATCTCAGGAGAGGCGGTGTCTTCCCGCCACTGTTGTTGTAGTTTTATCCATTACTGTGTTTGGCCCTCAGTTTCAGCCCTCAATGAATATTACCACCAGCATGTTTTTTGTTCCCAGAAACATGGAATAATCCTCAACTCAGAAATAGCTACCAACGGAGAGACTTCCGGACTTCTGAATAACGTGAGCCACCAAGGGTCCACCAAGATGTCAAAGGAAGAGCTCAATGTCCTCAAGTCGACAGCAGACGGGGCCCTAGGTGAGTACATGCTGCCTTAAGTCTGTCACCTCTGCAGACAGCATCGTCCCCTCCTGTGCGTTGTTAGATGAAGTCATCACCACTCATCCATTAACAGTCACATGGCTTGCTGTCTGTCTGTCCGCTCACACTGGCCCGTGTGCCCTGGCATGTGCCTCTCCTGTGCTTTCCACCAATGGCTTACGTTCACCTTTCTGTTGCTTCTCACAGCCGCCAGGTGAGACTTCAGTGCCAGGAAAGTGTGCCCTCGAGTGCAGGGATGATTTGCACAGGGACTAGTTTCCCTTGGTCCTCTGGCAAGTGTGGCCTTTTTAGCATGTTGTGCCACCGAAGCGTACAAATCTGAATGAGAGTTAGCAGCGGTGTTTGTCCTGAGCCCGGCACCCGCTGGGCTCCACCACATGTCCTGGGGCGGGGCCCTCAGGCTGCAGACTGGACTTGAGACCAGGCCAGCTAGCTCTTGGATGTTGTATAAAAGCCATGAACGGAGATGGGCCGTGCACCCAGCAGCAAGTGCAGGTGAGGTCTTTCACGGACAGCCTGGCAGGCACCTCGCTCTGAAGCAGCCCCCCCTATTTATAACTCACCCTTCCCCACCTGGAAGAGTCTCAGCTGGGCAGCCCACAGGTTACGGAAGCAGTTTATATGATTTGTGGTGCTCTGACATTCTCTGAAGAATAAGTGCCTTGATAGGGGCTGTGGACTGAGTTTGTAGTTCTAGGGCCCAGCCTCCCACTGCGGCCGCGATGAGGCCATGCAGGCCCTGGCTCCAGCTGCTCCCGGCTCCTTGGAGAGGGTTCTGAGTGAGAGCAGGAACTGGGATCCCCAGCTGGTTTCATCCTGGTTCCTTTTGTTTATGGAAATCTGGACCCAGACTTAAAACATCGACTTTTGTGACAGAGAAGTGTCTGCCTTTCAGTCATTCACTCGCATCCCGCTGTCTGTCAGCAGCTCGAGCAGTCAGGAATGTGACCGCTGTGCTCTTGTTTAAAAACAAATTTGTATAAATTGTTGACAGTCATTCGTAAGATGCTTATTAAAGAACCAGGCATGAGTTTTTGCCATTCATTTGCAAATGGTTCTTGGTCACTTCTGTCTCAGTTTAAAATAAATTTGGGACAATGTCCCAATGTAGATTTAAATATTTACTTTATTATAGGTATGCTGTGTCATTCATGTAAGATATATCTTTGGAGACATGAGCAATAATAGAGTCAGTAATAATAAGGAGAAGAAGATCAGAGTAATAATAATAAGAGTAATACATAATAGTAAAAATAATGAATAATACCTTTTTCAACCTACTGATTTTAAGTAAAAATAACTGTGAGTAAATCCAACTCTAAATTGCAGTTCCAATGACCTTCCCCCTTGTGGGCTCCACGAGGTTCTAAAGCTACTGAACGTGACTTTTCCATAGTTTGCTCTTTCATACTTGGAGCTTTGTTTGTTTAGAGAATCCTGGACTCACTGTCCAACCCCACACAGCAACTGCCCCTTGATGGATGAGTTGTGGGCTGTGTAATGGCGTGGCCGAGTTGGTGTGGAGTGCTTGAGTTTCTTTCCCATCCCTCCGGGGTGGGGCGCAGGCCTAAAGTTTGTCGCAGAAAGACATGCCCTGACTAGGGGGTGTACATGCCCTGACTGGGGGGTGGACATGCCCTGACTGGGGGTGGACATGCACTGACTGGGGGTGGGTGGGCATGCCCTGACTGGGGGATGTGCAGGTACTGACTGGGGGTGGACATGCCCTGACTGGGGGGTGGACATGCACATGCCCTGACTGGGGGGTGGACGTGCCCTGACTGGGGGTGGATGTGCCCTGACTGGGGGTGGACATGCACTGACTGGGGG